GGAGTCCATACTAGTTTTTAGAATAAAATTGAACACAATAAAAATTCAAATTTTAAATTGTTGAAACATCAATAATTGGTGCGTAGGATCTTGGTCTAATGTAGTAAATTCATCATCCTTAGTCATGTTCATAATATCTTTTGTAATCTCATTCATGCCAATGGTTCTTAGCGGGTTATAAACAGGTGGGGTAAACGGGTTCGTGTTAACGGGTTAACACAATAATATTAACGGGTTAAACGAGTTCTTAATAGGTTTAACGGGTTGACCCGTTAAGACACGAAACATAACGAGTTGACCCGTTAAGACATGAAACATAACGGGTTAACCCGTTAACGATCCGGGACACGTTAAGGTTAAACACTAACCCGTTATTTTTGTGTCCGATTTCATGTCATGTTAACCGATCATGTCGATAATTGCCAGGTCTATATTCAGTACAAATTGTACAATATATTGTTATATCGATTTTATTAAAATGATTTTTAATAATGTCCGATACAAAACAGATTATACGTGATTGGAGTGATTTTCGATGAAGGTTTTTGGATGTGCGTCTTTGCTTTGAAAGTTTGAGTTTTAGAGAAAGTTGAGAAAAAAAATGTATATGCCCCGCATTTAAACTCTTATTCCAACTATTTAATCTGTACTACTTACTAGGTCAAATTAACTATTTTTTCTTAGTTTATTTATTTATTTTTTTTTACTCACTTTTAAATATAATTTTTTTTTATTTAATAGTACTTTTAGTGTAGTTTCTAAATGTTAGTATAAGTTGTTATTATTATTATTATTATTATTTGTTTAATATTGTGTGGCTTAGATAGCTTGACTTAGTTTAGCTATTTGATAGGATTAGTTAGAGTTAGATATACTCTGTAATCCTGATGTTACGATCATTAACGAAATTCCTTTTCCAATCTGGCATCAGACTAGGATTTTTCGATCTCTCTAACCTCCACCACAAATTCCCCCCTCCCTTCCCGCACATCAATCGACCATGTCGTCTGGCTCGGATCGCACAGCCACTGACGGCGGAGCTCTGGCGGCCGGCGGTTCCCTCGCCGGGGCTCACCACTATGTCACAATGAAATTAACCTTGAAGAATTACCTCTTCTGGCGTATGCAAATCGTGTCTTTTTTGCGAGGACAAGAGCTCCTGGGCTTTGTCGACGGTACTTCTCCCTGCCCACTGGAGCAGATTGCCGGCACACCGGCCTCAGACGATGCGTCGTCCAGTCAAGCACCAGTCACGCTCAATCCGGCCTACAAGGCCTGGGTGAAACAGGACCAAACTATCATCTCTCTCCTGGTTTCGTCAATGGCGGACGAGACGCTCCACCTGGCTCTCGGGCGGAATACGGCGGCCGAGATTTGGTCCTCCATCACCGGCGCGCTGGGCTCCTCAAGTCAGGCGAGGTACCTGAATTTACTCTCCCAATTTCAGATGCTCCGGCAGGGGAATGCGACCACTGCCGATTACCTTGGACACGCCGGAGTTCTCGTCGAGGCGCTGCTTCAAGCCGGCCGGCCTTTGACACTGATGGAGCAAAACCTTTACATCATCCGCGGACTGCGACCGGAACTCAAGCCCCTTGCCACCGCGTTAACAGCCACTGGAAACCCGGTTTCGATTTCTCACTTGTCTGATTATCTGCAGGCACACGAATTCATTTTGGTTGACGATTATCCCTCCCTGGACAGTGGCGTGGCTCATACTGCGTTGTACTAATACTAAACTTAATATTATGACAAATTGAGTTAAAAATACCTTCAGTCAAACATCATTAATCGAATCAGATACATAAAATGGAACGGAGGGAGTATTTAACAAGGTAACAAGTTGACGACCAAGTGCGACGAAAATTAAGTCAAATTAAATGAATATTTTCAAAGTTGAGAACAAAATGTAACAAAATTGTGCTACTTCAAGGATAAAACAGTATAATTATATAAAGATAAATAATATTTTTTTTTGTGAAATTTAAATTACAAAGATAAATTAATAATATATTGTGAGTAGTATTAGTACTTATTAGTAAAGTTGTTGGTGGGGTATAAGTATAAAGGAATTATGTATGTATGTAAGTAGATGTAGGGGACCGCAAATTATGAATGGCAAAGCGTTGAATTATTCCTGATCAGATCACACGGCTGCAATTAAAGCATCAAGGACAAATAGTAGGTGAAATATGAAACAACGCAAATTATGTGGTGGAAACGTGTTCACTATGTGCATGGTGAAGACATGGGTAAATCCACAACTTTTATGTTGTAGATTCATAATTTCTATGCTGTTGAAATTATGAATCTACAGTACGGTATAAAAATTATGAATCTACAGTACGGTATAGAAATTATGAATCTACAGTATAGAAATTATGAAGATTCATAATTTCTAAGTTATAGATCCATAATTATTATGGTTCTACACCTTAAAAATTATAGATCTATCATGTGTTCATCATGCGCATGGTGAACACAGTTCCACAGCATAACTATTGATGAAACGATGTGGGGGCCTCAACCTCAACAACACAACCCTTTATATTCATCCAAAAGGTTTTAATTTTTTTGCATAAGATTTATTGTTGGCATTCGATTCATAAGATAGACTAATGCCTGTAATGAATAAGACCTATATGTACGTGCATAGACGCAAAATCGAGTAAAGATAACCCGGTTTTACCATATGTCTATGGCGTCGTTCAGCTAGGCCCGTATGTTCTGGTGTGTGGAGGACTCGTAAGATGTGAAATTTCACAAGAATTAAAGAGAGGTAGTAATTTAACAAATTCCCCACCATTGTCAAAAAACACGGTAATTGACAATTTTCAACCAATTTTTTTGAATTGAACAAACACATCATAGACATCAGACTTTTTCTTTAAGGGATTGACAAAAATAATATAATAGTAATAACCATCAATAGATTTTTCAGATGTACCCCAAACATCAGTGTATAGCAATTCAAGCGGATTATTACTAGACAAAGTGTTGTGAGCAAAAGGCAATTTGTGAGACTTATTTAGCAAACAGGAAGAACAATAAAAATTGGAAAAAGAGGTAGTAGGAATATTATTTCGTCTTAGCAGTGCACTGAAAGCTCTGTTGGATGGATGACCAAAAATGTGATGCCAAGACGATAAAGATGGTTTAATGATTGTATTTATTTGTGGAGACGAAGGTAGCCAAGCTCCGTAAACGTCATGCATGTTCCTCCCTTGCATTAGTGGCGCCCCCGTGAGTCGATCCTTCACAAGAAAACAAGAGTAAAAAAATTTCACCGACACATTATTAGTTTTGCACAACTTGGAAATTGAAATTAAACGTTTTTGTAATTTTGGGACATAAAGAACATCAGAGAGGTGTAAACGACAAGTTGGTGTAGGGATATTAGTGTGACCGGTGTGAGTAATTTGAAGAGTTTTACCGTCACCAAGTTGGATCTCATCAGGCCCACCATAATCAGAGACTGACTGCAATAATGAATGTGACGAAGCAGCATGGTGCGAGGCACCAGAATCAAATAACCACTGTTGTGAACCATTATGCGGCACTGCTGTAACATTAAATGTGGCCGACTGTTGACCAAAATTGTTCATGTTTACATTATTATCTCGAAGAAATCGCATAAGCTTCCGACAATCTCTCACTTCACGGCCATAAATGTTTCAAAACCTGCATGTAACATTTTTACGACCCAATTTATTTGCATTAGTACAAGACTGAGTTGGATGGAAACCCGTCGAGCTTGAACCGTTTGTCCCGGCATGTTGATTGTTGAAATTGCGACCGCTAGAGTTGCGGTTGGGCTAATATTGTCGATTTGAAGACTTTTGGGTGGCATTTGCTGTAGCAAGGAGGGAATGTTGTGCCTCAAATTTTTTCTGTAGCTTATGCTCAAAAGCTGTTAAAACATTGGAGTTCAAAAAATGTAATAGGTTATGGACGAATCCGAATATCTTCAACAATGGGTTCAAACTCATCTCCCAATTGGGCTAAGGTGTTCACCACTAAATCTTCCTCACTTACTGGACTTTGTGCAAGGGGAAGTGCATCAGAGATAGGTAGATAGCAAACATATCATCTAAAAATTGTTCTATGGAACGACCATTAATCGGATTGGATGTGTTAGTGTTTTATTTGTGTAGAAAAACCTCAACATATAATTGACAATATTATTATGGCAAATTAAGATAGGGTTTAGCTTGGTGTCTGTTTATTCTTATAGAAGACTGACTGATCAGTACAATCAACAGACGCACTGCTAGATCAAGTCACTGAAGATCTGATAAAGGAAAGTTTTCTAAAAAGCTGGGACGCGGTTATGAGATGACAGTTTTGGAAAGAATATCAGCGGATCAGCGTGAAAGATATGGACCGGATCTTAAAGATTCCATTCTTCACAAAAATTCCTACCATCTACAACCAAAGATATATTTGGAGAGAGTATCCAAATCAAAGAAGTATATATATCCTTATTCGTTCAAGAATTAGGGTGACATTGATTGAAGCCGCAACACTCTATACTAAACAAAATACACATCTCTGTCATGTCTCTTCTCAAGACAATAAGTTCTTGGTAATTATGAAGAAAAACTTGAGAAGTATCAACGTTACTTAAACGATAGGACACGAAGATCACTCAGTTGTGGGAACAACGTGGGACTGCGTCATTGAAGCGGACAACATCAGAGTTAGCTCTCCAATTGAAGGGATTTCATTGGACTTCTGCATGCGTGGCTCTCTGACTTCAACACTCCATTAAACCTTTGTAGACTGGGTACTGACCTTGTGTGGGGCACTTGGGTGAGATTATTGTTTCTCTACCTTTGTACATTGGATTATGATTTAGTGGATTGGACGCCTCGGTGATCGTCCCCCAGATGTAGATACACACTGTATCGAACTGGGTAAACAAACATATGTGTTGATTTACTTTCTGCCTTAGTCTTTCGCTTTAAATTAATCTGCTTTCTATCTGGATGACTGGTCGATTAAGTATCTGAGTTAGTCAGTCCAGTATTCCAGTTGCCAGAAACTAAATCAATATTCTTATATTGAGAATATGCAAAATTACAGGATGCTAATTTTGACTTTAGCGAAACAATCCGAGTGCGACATGGGCTAGCAAAGCTTTCCTTCAAGCGATCCCAAGCTGCTTTTGATGTCAAAGCATAAGAGATAGTTGGTTGAATAGAGCCGGTGCAACTACCGAGGATGGCATTCAAAATAACAAGATCTTGCATGTACCAAGCAAGATAGGCTGGATTCAAAGTGGTTTGAGTAGCATCAACATATTTTGATGGAGCCGTTGTCGTGCCATCGATGTAACCTTCAAGGGCAAGACCAATCAATGCCGATTGGATTGGTTTTTGCCAAACCCAATAATTTGAGGTTGTGAGTCGGATGGAAAAATTGGCAGGAACAATTAATTGAATAATGGGTGTAACAGGAATGGCCATGGAAGTAGAATAAAACCCGAGAGAAGAGGAAAAAAAAATATAGGAACAGATTTTGCTAGAAATTTCTGGCTCTTATGTGAGAATATAATAGATGTGAAAGTTGATAATCTATTACTGAACCCATTGGTGTGGCAATCATGAGTAATTAGTAGAGTATACTTATTAGGTTAGACATAAATCATATAATAATCATCATTCTGTTTGCTTAAAGCTTTGATTTAAAATTTCTAATATGGTTTCTGGTACTGCATAATCATATCATGTTCTTCCTGCATCTTAAATTAGTTGTAGCTTTAACACTTATTTTTTAATTATATTTCCCTCATTTTTGCTTTCTTCAGCAATGGGCTGGGAGCCGTGCATTCTTCCATTAAATATAATTGCTAATATATATATATATATATATATATATATATATATATATATATAGACTATTACAGAAATAACATACAACGTCGAATATATAACGTTGATTTTTTAGTTAACCGACATCAAAACTCAAAACATTAAATAAATTTAAAATTAAGAAAAATAAAACTTTTCACGTCGGTTTCTCATAAAAATCGACGTCGTAAATAATTTTAATAAAAAAAACAAAAAAACACTATACGATCTCGGTTATTTATATAATCAACGTCGTATAGTTTAACTAATTTCTTTTTTATTTTTTTTATAATTGGTTGACGACGTCGGGTTTTTTTAGATTTTTGAGTGGTTGCTTGATTTTGAGATGTTGAGGTGGTGGGCTGGTATGCATTACAAGACAATTAAAAAAAAAAAAATCTTTCTGTTTTTCTTTTTTTCCTAAAACTATTGTATGAGATTTGTTCAAAAGAACAAAAAAAGTTAGCCTTGGTGAAATATTTTAGTATTTGATAAATGGATAAGTAATTATATTGTAAATTAGTTTTTTGGCGGCCTCTTCCACTTACGCACTTAACTTTGCTTGTGAGGAAAGAGATGGAATTTGAAATAGGCAATCAGTACAACATTCATTGTTTTTGAAACATGATTTTAGCTCTGAATTAATGCACGTAGGGTTGGCTTTTTATGTTGAACGCTTTTAATATTCAAATGCATAAATCAAATTTTCAAAAAGAATAACGAAAGTTAGCCAAGTTGCAACTAATTACGGATGCCCTAGGGTCTGATCTAGGGCAAAGTTGAGTTAGTGATAGTAGCTAGGGTTTTAAATGATTGAAAGTTCATATTAATACTATCATTTTTTTAAAAAAAAAATGATATTTAAATGTCATTTTAATTTTATTTTTCTTCTCATGAATTTATAAATATAGTGTAAGGTTAACTGACATCTTTATGTACCTTGTACTTTTATTTTTTATTTAAGATAAAATCAATACTTTTTTTTTTAGAGTTACTGGCTCTATTACATTGTAGTATCTGTTCATATACTTTCTCAACCTACTGAAACACAAAGAACCAATAACGCCTCCACTGAGGCTTGAACTCATAATCTTCCAATTGGAAGTCCAACCCAGATACCATTAGACCACATAGTCCTAGTAAGATAAAATCAATACAGTCTTGAATGACTTTAATTTTACCTCTTTAGACTTGAAAAAGCTCTCCACTTGCATCTTTACTTCTATCTTAAGATTAGACTGTTATAATTTTTTTTTTTTGGTCTTATTTTGAATGGACTTGTCTCTCCTCTGACGTTTGATGCCAGGTAGAGGACATGAACATTCAATTCATGGATTGAGTGAATATAATGATCGTTAACGTCTGAGACAAAGAAGGTTCATTACTTGAGTCGCGAGGGGAAAAGATGTTTCATGTTACACGTGCAATGAAACGGCCAACAAAAACAATGTGCAATGCAAATAAATCCCCTCCCTGCCTTTAACTTGTCTCGTCTCTCTATCACAATCACAAACTCATAATCCCCTACCTACACAACAATTTTTTAATTTCTTGTTTTCAAACAAATTATGAAATTAGAATTAGTTTAGAGTTGAATATAAATGACTACTAAATATCACCTGTAAAAAAAAAAAAAAAAAAAATGCAATCAATAGCTTTAAGACAACATTGGAGTTGAGTAAAATATTAGCGAAATCTCTTATAATTTGGTGTTTACAAGCCAGCCAGCCAGCCAGCCAGCGCATTCATTCCTCAAGAAAACTTGGGAATAGAAGAAGAAATTTAGGAGAAAACAAAAAACATGAGTACAAGAATCCATCCAGACTATACATTACCTTGAAACAAAATCTTTCTATGCAATATAACTACACAAACTAATTTTAAAAGACATCTACAATCTATGGCAGACAGACAGACCCACAAGGGTGGGGGTGGGGAAAGAAAGGAAACATCATCCCTTCCCCAATCAGCCTACGACCCGATGATACTTGAGGAATATGCAGCTAAGTCAGCAAGGGACATGAATAAAATCAAACGACCAGAAATTAAGAAGCGTATTACAAAAAAAATAATAATAGACAAAAGAGAAGGGGAAACTTGTACAAGATAGTACTCCCTCTGCCTTGTTCCCAAGCTCACAACATTTTACATTTTCCTTTCAGCTGAAGAAAGCTTTAAAGCCCCCATTGGCATGGCATGGCATGGCATGTCTTAGATAGCTAGCTGCTTGTACATTGTAAGCTCTAGCTTAATTATATATTTTAACAGGCTTTTCAAATGTGTGACGGTTCTGCAATCACCCAAACATCAAACCAAATCAGACAGCTGTCCAAAGCCCATAAACTAATCTTCGCAAATGACTGGGAAAGCATGCATTACCTGACTAGCTGCATAAGCTCTCTTTGGTGTATTATCAGAGTGCTCCAAACCAAGGTACTGCTCCCATGCACCATATACATCTCGTCTCTGGATAAAAATCAATAATGTGCTATCAGATGTAGTCAACCGTGGTCGCCAAAAAATGAATAGCTAAACATGATGACAAGTCATTTTAAACAAATCTATCAAAGAGGAAACTTTCATCAAGAAAGAGAATACAAACAAAACAAACTGTAACCATCACCTGAAAACGGCTGGATACAATGTCCGCGTCCTGAAGATATTCTGGACGCCCCAGTGATAAAAATGCAAACTTCCACTGTTCATAACACAGTAGAGAAGCTAGGTCAATGATTGGGATTTGAAATATCAAAACCAAAAAGATACGCAGTATACAAGATGAATATGTCCAACAATTATTGGAGTGTAACTTATGCTGCGGAGAGCAAGTATACAGAAGAGATTGTACCTTGGAGAATTCCTCTTCAGGAACCTGCAATTTTTTTTGAATGCGGACCTTAATTTCGGCTAATGTCTCACCTTCATGGATGACCAAAAAGAAAGGCTCACCAAAATTTTGGACTTGCTGTTGGAAAACAATGCAATTTTTTACACAACACAATTTTGAAATGAGAATAAAAAATAAATAAATAAAAAGTAATAATGTTTCCTACCAGTTGGTTCTGAGATGTCTCTTTTGTGAAGTGGTAAACATGAACTAAGCGATCATGAGGACCAATGTTTTTCTCCTCTTCTGGTATCTGATGGAAATAACAACAATAGTACACCATACAAAACAAGCAGAGAAAGATGGCATTGCATGAACGATAGAATATATGGCATGCACTAAAATTCCTAAAGCACATAACCATTGCGCATCAGCAATAACCAGTAATGCTATATAGTAGTAATGAATGGAGAGAAAGCAAAGTGAACAACCATAGATATCTCACCTCCTCAGCACGCAGCGTCCAGTACTGATCATTTATATTCTCAATTTTTTCATTGGGAGGGAAGATCTGCAGATGAGAAAAATCTGATTTCAAACACAAATGGAGAAACATAACGAGATCCAAGATAACTAACTTTATGAGGCAAGACACTAGAAAGTCAATTTCTCATAAAGATTTTTGACAAAATTTGTATTTACACCACAGTGAATTCCTCACCTTATAGATTTTGTGATAGAAAACTTCAAGCAATCTAAGTTCGGCATTAGGATGAGACAACTCTACCTGTTTCACCATACATAATAGCAAATACATAGTCAACCATTATTAAAGGAGCCACCATAGTAAGATAAAATGTATATATGCAGGTATAGGAGTATAACACTAGTACAACCCTTGTGCTTCTTTTTCTTTCATTTATAATAGAAAAAGGAGAAGGGAGGGCAAGACAAAGTACAGAGGTGAGACTGCAGAATACTTGCTTCAGTTTTACACAACAAACCAACTCTAAGTTAGGGTGGAAGGTCAAACTGCTTGCATCTACAATGCTTTAGTAATGAGAACAATTGGGATGGCAGCAATACAAAACAATATTATCCCACTGAAGGAAAAAGAATCTCTCATTAACGGGAATGACAAGAAGAAAATTGCAAAGATACTGACTTCCCTTTACATTTAAAACTTTTCTTTTGAAAATTGATATAATACTGCTGCATACCTTTCCCTTGATTTCATTAAGCACATCTCCTACAGTACTCTGTTTTGGCAATCTAACATTGGTAATTACAACCTGCAAACAACAAAACATTACGATGCTATAGAACGTTTTCTGAGTGAGAAATTAGCTGTTGGACATTTAAGACACACCTCATCCTTTGAGGCATGGTGAAACGCAACTTTGAGTGTCTTGAGACACTGCAACTCTGGTAGAGGAATGTCCAGAACTTCATAATACAAAATATCAGAAATCTACAACAAGAAAGCAAAAAATGTTAACTCATTGTGATCAGGTTTCATGCTAGCTAATAAGGTTGCTACTAACTCATGGGTAAATATAACCTTGCAAACCACAAACCCAGCAAGATTAGTGCCCTAATTATTATTCCTCTATTGGCAAAGATCATTTCAAGTCATACTCACCTGATTGTAGTGGACTAGCATGTCAACCAAATGATCAACAGATCGGTATTTGATAGGATTAGGCTTGGGTTGCTGAGAATAGCAGTTGTGTGGGGTAAGTCTAATTTTGGAGGGATCATTTAAACCAAGGCGTTGAGCTACTCTCTCCACAACATCATCATAAGTATGATTTTTTGCTCTGAAAATTAATGATTAAAAATTGGTTAAAACTCTTATAAGCAAATAAATACCTCACTGTCAATCTAGAAGAATGATAGAAATGTACTCACAACTCCAGACAAAAATCATCCTCCTTGGGTCTCTCCAAAGACCGAAAATGGACGAGCTGTAAACATGAAATTTGAGAGAATGGCATTGTAAGTTCTGTTTTGCCAATTTTAACTTTCAAAAGCTACCAAAACTTCAAAAAGGGAGGGACTCCAATCACATTTTCAGCATTGGGCTTTACCATTTCAAAATTCATATCAGTTCCCTAGCATTATACAACTTCGTTTATTTTCAAGGTCAGTTCTTCATTAGGGATGGACACATGCTGGGATTGCTGGGGCTATGATCATTTAGGAAGCTGTTATGATTAAAGAAGTATTATTTTACTAAAATTACATTACATAGTTTAGATATTAAGAAACTACTAAATAGTTGTTTAGCCTATTACTTAATTTAGTTATTTAGAAGCTACTAAATAATTATTTAGTTTATTAATCTTAGTCTTCGAATTAGTTTAGCCAATTTAGTTATTTGGAAACTACCAAATAATTAATTATGCTTAGTTTAGGAATCCTTGTAATCAGCCCTATCTGGAAGAATGAAAAAGCAGAAACTTAATCCCAAAGAAGGGACTAAGGGAGTTTTGGGTCTCAAGCAAACCCAGCGTTTCCTTTTTCTTTTCATTCGTTTCTTTGGTGTTTTTCTTGCCCATGGCATGAGCATATAACAAGGGAACACAGATATTTAAAAAATATTAATGCCCAGTTTCCCATACAAACACAAAATAAGCATCCATCATGCACCATTTCCCAATGAGCATCTGTAATATTATTGGAAACAAAGGCCCAATGTGTAAGGCTCACAAATTATGTAGGCACTAGGCTATGGAGAATAAAGACCACATAGATGACAATATTTCTAGAGGTTAACTTATGACCAAATAGTCAACAGCTGAGCACTTGGTTACCACAAGAAAGCCCAACCATCTACTAAATTATTAAAAACATTAGAACAAATAAGATAAGCAAATCACATTTATGCATGGGCAGCATGGAAATAACTAGATCTAAATAATACAAAAGCCGAGATATCAATACCTGGCGATTTTTCACATATTCCAAAAATGAAGGAACATCTGGATATCTGAGTTGCTCCTCAATTTCAGGGGAAGGTCTCTTTTGAAAGCAAATAATATCACCATCTTCAATCTGTCATAAGAATAAAGAATCTAAAGATCAAAATGTGGAGTTAACCCAAGGTTAAAAAGGTCCCAAGGAAAAGCAATGAACTAAAGTGCAGACCTGGCTGATCCGAAATGAAGCCCTTTTGTCAAGACGTTCACACATGACAGAAGGCTCGAATTTGATTTCCTAACAGAAGATCAGAAACAAATAAATAAAGAATAAAGGTATAAATGAGTATTTCAGATGCCGAATGTATACTATGCATCAAGTACCTTATTTTAACAAGTAAATGATCACAACAATACAAGAAAAGGTACTGATAGCACAAACCTCAAATAGTTCAATTTCCTGATCAGGAGCAAACCCAGCCAGTTCATTCAGCTTTGTTAATATCTCAATTGGTTTACCAATACTCTTCACAAAAAGCCGACCAACAAAACTAAAAAACAAAATAAATCAAACTTTAAAGAAAAATAAACAAACAAAAATCCTCCTGCTAAAAATAATTGAGAAGCTTTTTATCTTAAAGGGAGCAACTTACCGAAGTTGTTCTTTTTCAGGATCATAAAGCTTAAAGAAAAGAAGTATCTCTTCTTTACTTTTGTCAGGTGGAGGAATGGGATGCAGATCCTTTTTTTTTTTTTTTTTTTTTTTTTTGTAACAAATAACAGAAACAAAAGCAGCAACACAGTCAACATTAATACCATTGCCCAGTGAAAAGAAAATGATAAATTGTCTTCAAGATGACCTAGAAATTTACCGGCCCAAATTCTACTTCCAAGAATAATTTAAGCTCTGCATTATTGGTCTTGTTGGAAACTTCTCTCAGCTGCCCAACCTGCACTTGCAAAATACATACGATGAAATATTACAAAGCTTACCATTTAGTTGCAAGAGACATAATATATTATAGCTTGCCACCGTCTATTTATCACTGAATATTTTGTTTGACTTCGGATATGACAATTATGGTAAAATACTGGCTTGGTACTAATGTGTTTCATTAAAAATATGTTTTTGCACAAGTAGGCACAAAAAATAATAGGATATCGTATTTTTATGTTGTTTAGATGTTGAATTATTGGGAAGTGTGGTAATGAGCCCAATCCTTTCGCTACCTGTCAATGTAAACCAAGTGGTTGACAGCTGTCAGCTTAGAACAAAAGCTTGCCCAGCTTAGAAAATAAAGCTATAAAATAATACACAAAATAGCTAGATAAACCTTTGATTCCAAACATGAAACATCAAGAAAATATCTTCTCTTTTGGCCAGTGTAAACTATTTTTACAATAGCCACAAAGTAGCTACTATTGTATTCACAAAAGACAATTACCTTACATACATTGCACAGATGTCATCCAAACAACAAAAGTCAACAGCGAAGGATTATGTAGAACAAATTGGATCAATTCAAATAAATTTATTTAAAACAAAAAAAAAAAAACAAAAAAAAAAAAAAAAAAAAAACAGGGAAACTCACTGATTGTAACTCCTCTTGTGGAGTCAAAGGGCGATTTGGGCGATATGTGTGGTTTTGTCGCTTTGCCCATATCCAAAACCGCTGAAACTGTACAGGTATACCAAGCTCTTTGGCAACCTCTTCCTGCATTTTTCATGGATAAGTTAGCCAAGTTCCAAAAGCTATTCAAGTTCAAGCCTCTCCAAAAATAAATTAAAGATGGAGACATGTTAGGCATTCCCCGATGTAACCAAAAGAAAAGGGTACACACAAAAAGGACTTTGAATTTATTCAAAGGAATTTGATGCCCAACAAATTTTGTTCCAAACAAGCCAAAGCAAACAGAGAGGAGAAAGAAATCATGCATTGTTTCCCTCTCTCTGGTTCAGATTCCAAACTTAGCCAATTTAGCTAGAACATTGACTACACATACACACAAAGAAAGCTCATACTTGCCAAAATCCATATAACATTGCCAACAAAAAAGAAAATGGAATTCATAATATATTTATTTAACTTTGTTCATTTTATCATTTAACAACCAACTGGTATTACTATGAAAGATTAATATATACATCTATCTTGGATTTTGTACGTACAGTTCTTGAGTGGGCCATCACATCTAGCTACTCAATTCACATTTTGCATGTGTTTGGTTGCTTTAATTTAATGGAGGAAATATATGAATTAGGTTAAAAGGCATCTGTTTTTAAAATATACTGTATGAATTTAGGAAAACAAAGATGAAACAGTACCTTGAAAAGGTTAAAAGGCATCTGTTTCTGAATCCGGAAGCTATGAACTTTGTCATGATCAACGAGATCAAAATATATCTCCTTACCAATCTGTTCTCTTAGATCCTCATCACGGGCAACCTACATGTATTAGTGGCTTTAATGAACATTTTTGGGGAAACAATATCAATGTCATTTAAATTATATCAATTTTAAGAAAACCTTGATAATAGTATAAAGGTGGGCCTGTGCTTTATATCGTCTCTTATCCTCCTTCTCTTCTTGCTCTTTCTTCAACCTTATCTGGAATAAGAACACAACCATTATTAACCGAAGTTCATACAAAAATAATTAATCTACTTCCAAGTATGAAATAACATAACCTACCCTAAGGTGTTCTGCTATATCATGCTCATCCACATCACAAATTATCTTATCCTTGTCACTCTCACGTATATAAACAAGCATGTAAGCATTTGAGTATTTTGTAAATTTGAATGGAGTGTTGTTGAAGCCTGGATTTGTCTGTGGCAACTATTTCACATAGCAAAGAACAAGTCAGAAATCAGAATGGAAAATAAGCAGGATAAATTTCTTTTTTGACAAGTAATAAAAAAGCAGGATAACTGCTTTTATTAATAATGTTACCTCCTCCTCACCACCATACTGCTCCTCTAATGCCCTCTTAATATCTTCTTTGGTGACCCGTTCATCATCAAATTTATACCTATAAGATAATCAAATGGTCAGATTTGAATATTTGATGATTAGAAAACTCAAGAAAACTTGCTTCAGATTTTAATAGCTAACAATTATTCACATACATCAAATAGATAAGGATTGTCATAGAGAAGAGGTACACATACAGATGAAATATGAGGCGTTATAGAAGATGGAATAGTACAAAAGCAAGCATTATTAAAATCATTAAAACATGTGCAGCACTAAAATCAGACAAATTTGACGCATAATTATAGTCTTCATTACATACATAGACAAACCAATACTTGAGTGGCAGAGCGGAAAAGTAAAGGAAATTTCAGGAATATGATGCGCACCATTGATCAGAGAGTGTAGGCCTGATGAAAGCATAATAGTGTCCACCATGCACGCCACCACTATGAACTAAGACACTGTCAAATGAAAAAAAGATTGATGGGCTGTGCATCTCAAGAACAAATATTAACAGCTCAAGGAAAAAAAAAAAAGTTTGATGAGTTTGTGTGAGCAGATAGAGAAAGAGAGAAGGGATAAGGCCAGGGAGGCAAACAAACCTGTGAAGCGTATAGAGGTTGCGAACACTCCTATCTGCTTCTGGAGACAAATATTTGCCATTTTCTCTATCAAGATCAAGCTCCAGAGGGAATTCATAGCGGTCATTTATCTGCAATTAGCATCACAATAACTCAGTAACACATTTGAATGAAACCATTAGGAGGTGGCAGGATAACAAACTTCAATTATATGTGAAAAATCCAAGTGAATCATTCAAGCAAGCATAACAAGTTTGAATTACTTTTCATAGTAGTTTCCTATTTAAGAGGTTGATTGGTTCCAAAATTTGTTAATGCACTCACTAATTCAATCCCAAAAACTGGGAATGTTCAAACATAATCCAAATTTGTTACCCCCCCCCCCCCCCCCCCCCACCTTTTTTTCTGGTTGTTTGGGGAAAGGGCTGAAGGGAGAGCTGGAGGAGGGATTGTAAACTTCCTGAATCCCAAGAACCAAGTCACCCCTAGGATTCCCACTACTCTAACAGGTTAAGTTGTCAGCCATTTCTTAAGTTGGACCCCTGTACTTTATTCCTAGAATTTTCCTCCTCACTCTGTTCAAAACTTGCAAATGACCATAAATCATAGTCTATATCCCACCCAATTCCCCATTGTTTCAGCCAGAAAACAAGTCCCAATCAGTAATAAACAACCCCGAATCATCTCATTCTTTAGCTGCAAAACTGCAAGCCAAGTTGACCCCAAATTGGTACTGCATCACTGTCCTGCTTCCTACTGCAGAACAGAGTGAACAAGGCATAAATTATGATCAATCTCATCTCTTATGCATATGCATGATGCAGTAAGCATCAACTATACTTCAATAGATTGCATATACTCTTGGTGATTATTAGGGCATCCCCATCAATGCATCTTTCTTGGTTTTTTGCAGAACAAAAATCACCAAATGGGTTTTTAACTAATATGGGGGAGGGTTTTTTGGTTGGTTTTTCTATCCTGCAAGTTTAGTTTTTTTATGGGCCCCTTTGCTGAGAGAAATGGAGAAGGCACGCTGCCTGAGCCGCGCGTTTGGGCTACATCCGCCCCCAGCTGGGCGCATGCAGTACACGTGCCAGCTGGGTGCGTGATTGCTCAGTGTTATGTTTTTTTTTGTCAGCTTTCTGTTTTTTTTTTTCTCTTCCCTCCTACTTGGACATGTAAAAACCAAGAAAAATCTCCTACTATTGGTGATGCTCTTAAAAAAATAATTAAAATACTACACGAGAAATAGAAGATTTAAGCACTACTATTTGATGTTATAGCAAGTAACCTAACCAATTTAACTGCAAAGGTAAATTACAAATAATTTCTTGTCATAGCAATAATAAGTTACCATAGTCTATAGGTTTCCTTGAACAAATTAAAATGATGGGCTACACCAAATAACATTACTGAATATGTATTGGAAAATGAACAAATAACAAAATTTCCTAATATCAACCTTAACCATTGTATCTCGCATGAAATCATATTCAAAACGCTTCAGCTGAAGCTGCAGAACTGGAGGGAAATCAATAAATAGTACACCCTTTTTAGCATCCTGAAAACAGAGTGGAAATAATCAATATTTCTGTGAACATGGAAGAAATTAATCAGTGAATACAAGTTGGAAAAGATGTGGAAATATAAATAGAACAGAAAATAATTTGATTTCTGCATGGAAAATGGCAATACCATTCTTTCAATTCAAGACATCTAACCACCCATAAGAATAATTCAATTTCTGATATTGTTACCTCTCAAGAACTATTGAAAAAATTAAAATGTTTCTAAATGATTCTAGGCAATAACAAGCTCATAATTATTTTTATAGCTATTACTGACCTGTAAACCATGTTCTTCAGCATGGTACTTGTTATCACCTTCAAGACGTTCAACTTCAACATATTTGTCAAAAGAAGCATAGACATCCCGACAGCCTTTAACATCAAGCTGAAGATCTACAAGAATGGACAATAAAGTTCAGTACATCGCAAGTATCAAAGATTTCATGATCAACTTGAGAAACAAAACGCAATACCATAAAATGATTCTTTTCTTGTTGATTTGAAGTCCACATTTATGCATTCTATGTAATTCATATGGTGCCCTTCAAATAACTTCTGTATTGTCCCTTCTACAACGGTACCCTGGACCACCAAATCCATTGGTAAAATGTTTGACCAGATGTATGTCGATTATGATCGTATTTTTATTTAATAAAATAAAGGTCATGCCTTCATCTTGTCTTCAAGCTTTTCACACAACACCCTGTTAAGTTCTTGCACATCATGCTGCATGAATGAATCATACGTGTCCCATCCAAATGATTTTGTCAGTTCTTTTGTAGCCACACTGGTATCACTATACTGGAGCTTGTAAAACAACCTCTGCAGAGCCAAAGGAATGCTCCCAGATGGCATATCATTCTCTGTAGTTGGCATGTGATACACAGCCTGATAGAACACAATCACAAATGAGAAGCATTCTAATCCAGAATATCAATAGGAAAATGAAATTTAAACTGATTAATAATTAAGATCACATTATGACCTTCCGAAAGTAGGGAATATGGTAAAGAGTTTGCAGGAGAGAATTCATGTAACAAGTTGCTCCCTGGTTCTTAAGCCCTACGTAACCTGTCTCCTTCTTTGAGTCATATGACCAATAATCAATGACCTTCCTTACAGCAACATCAGCTTCAATTACAACAGTATCGCTCACAAGGTATCCCTTGCCAGGGTCATAAAGCTCACTAAGAAGCATGAACGATGTAAAACCCCAATCACTTTCCCTTTGGTTGAATTGGTGTTGCGTCTCTGCAAAGTCATAATAACACCATCCTAAATAAAGTATGATGGAAAAATCCAAGTGACCATTTAAATATCTATACAAGATGGTGACACAAAGGAGATCTATTCATTTTCCTTGCACGCTTATTAACTTATTATCCTAATCAAGCTTCTAAGATCAAATAACAGTACAAAGTACTAATTGATGTTAACAATATGGTCTCTTGAAATTCAGTGGTAAAGCTTCCTTCAGAGCTGCAAAAACTAGTAATTCTCTGTCAATGAGCAGCTACCATAACTTTTGTACCCCACTATTGGATTGATTCCAATTACCTTGTTTGTTTGTCTACTTTTGCATTCAAATATTTTAGTAAATGACAAAAGTCATCATCTTCCCCCTCTCCAACTTTTGGACTTCTGAATCAAAAATAGAGATACGAAAGGAAAAATAAATAAATAAATAAATAAAATGCTATTTTCCATGTGTAATGTGTTGGTTGTGGAATTTGAATATGTTTGTGTGAGTATTATTTTCATTTCTTTACTTATTTTTACTCCAATTCTCATTTATTACCAAACAAAGAGACTATTTTACAAAGTCATTCCAATTACTCAGTACTTGATTCTAACCATAGGGATAGCAATTTCAATCTGATCTGCCAGTATTCACACAAAGAAGCCCAGCATAGATCCGGTTCAGGTTTCGTATACAAAACCAGCATAGAACCCCACCAAACTCACCCCGTTTTATATATATATATATATATATATATATATATTGTGTGCGTGTGTGTGTATTGTAGTTATTTCTAAAATTTTACAAGAATTATAACTCACCTTAAATTTTAATTTTTCATTTCTAAATAAATAAGTTTATTTGAAAAAATGAACAATTTAGTTATTATATTTTAATATTTTTATTATTTTATATTTTAATATAACTAGTGAATTTTATTATACATATAAATAGTTTAAATACTATTGCTTTTAAAAAAATATATTAATAAGATTTAAAAAAAAAAAAAAAAAAAAAAAAAAAAAAAAAAAAAGTGATGGGTATCCACATCAAATGGGGTGGGGGTGGGTTTTGAAAAGGTACACCCACTGCAGGTCAAGGGTGGGGTGGGGGTAGGTAAAGAAAGTATAAGGTGGGTCAGGTAGTGGATGTAGTCGCTCCCAACCCATTGCCATCCCTACTGACCAAACACCTCCTGAATTTATCATACCCAATATAATGATTGCATGCAGATCAGACCTTATTCTGCAAAGAAAAGAATTTACATGAATTGCACCTGCATGGACACTTAGCAGTATACCATGCTTAAGCAACAAGTTATAATAAAAAAAGTTGTGCTCATCATCATCTCAGTTCATGAAACTATTAGGGTTCAAATGTTTAACCACAAAAATGCAAATGAGATTTCAAGGAAACCAGGACCTTGTCACAGTAGTCAGTTTTGATCTTTTATTTTATGGTTATTATCCTAGTCTTCTTACAAGCTACATCAAGAAGCAAAGATGGGAAGCAACAACATTCAAATGTTAATATGGAGTTTAAATTTAGGGAAAGTCAAATGATAGATCTTATCCACCCTTATCCAACAATCCAACACAAGACTCAAAGTTCTTTTCCTCCAAGCCTCTATTATGTTTTAAATAGTATTTCCAAATATGTGATAGTTACTATATAAAATATGATTAGTGTATCACCAAGAAGATAATAGAAATACAGAAACAACCCAAGGCAGAGGCACAAATAACAAATATTTCTTATGATAGAATAAAGTTTTAGGAAAAGACAAATGATAAATCTTATCTAACCTCATCCAACTATCCAAGAGGAGCACCAAAAGTACTCTTTCCCACCATGCCTATGATGTTATTTTATTAGTATAGGTCAGAAGTCGCAGAATCATGATCATTAGGTAGAAACAAGAGAAAATGACTATCAGTACACTTTTAATCCATTGGTATTAAAAATTTAAAATATACTCCATCTGTGTGTGTGTGTATCTAGGGTCAGATATAATTAGTTTCTTCCAGAATTAACTGATAGTAAAACTTTTGGCAGCACAATCCAGGTGCTTTTTTATTAGTAAACAGTTGGATGCACTCATCTAAAAAAGATTTTAGTTTCTTGGACAATAGCCACAGAAACAGTAGTGCTCAAGTACAATAGTTATTAATCTGAATGTATAATAAAAATACTTCGTACAAAGAATCATTACTTTAAGGAAATCAGGAAAATATGCACTCGAGAAAATATTTTCATTATATGCATTAAAAAATATAAACACAGAAACCAAGGAAGATAGAGCCTGGAGGGGTATGCAAGAATAGTCTCTTCCTGTGGGACAAAAGGCCTAGTAGTAAACATGAAAACACAAGCAGTCTTCCTAGAACATAAATACAAGCATATACTTGTACCCTAAACTTTAACAAAAAATTAATTAGAGACAATCTAATTACAGAAGAAGTAATGGAGGCAAACACTAGACAATACCCTTTTTAACAGTATACTTGGGATTAATTTGATTCACAACAGCTAAGCTGAACTGGGCATATCTATTCCACCCATATGGTAAAGTAGCTGAATCTGCCACATCCAAATACATTGACAAGCATTCCACATTGTTTCCTTTTGGAAATATTAGCACCCGCCTGCAAGAACCAATGTCAGCCACTAATCACCCAATTCTCTAACACAGCAAATGACCAGAACAAAGTGATCATCACTTCTTACCATTTATAACCACCTACAGTAAAAACCTCTGAGTATAGCTTCTTCACATTTAACCTAGAAAAATTTTCAATTGTCCATGTGAAGCGAGAAGCCTGTGGCTCATCTACTGCTTGGTTTTCCACCGCATTAGCACTCTCTGTTGGTGTAACTGTTAATTAAATCAACCAATAGAAAATCAAACTTAATCTAAGACACCAGTGCATGTGCACAGAAAGAGACATCAATTGGGAGTGTTAAGAGAACAACCTTCCATGGGCTGAGGACCTTCCACTAGTGGCTGAGGACCCTCCACTACATCAGAGTGCGGCACAAGCATCTCCTCTTCCTGCTGCTAGAGTTTTTAAGAAAGCAAAAATTCAGAAAGGATCGCAACTTTAAGCCAGAGGCAATAAAACGAAGATGAGACCACATGACCAGGTGTGATCCAGTAAAAACCCTAGCCCAAACTGATATATCAAAACTCATTTCGATTCTCGAAGACGTTAAATCCACTTGAGAAGCCGAATCATCACCTCCCTCACCAAAACCCTAGCATGATCAATGTCCTCCCCACACCCCACCCCCAATTGTGCGCATGTATACTTATACGTATCGACCTGAACAAGCAGGTGCTTACCATTCTAGGTATTACGAAATGAAAGACAAATTAAGGGCGGCAGAAGAGTGGAGAGAGAGAGACTCACATCCAACGGTTGATGATTCAGCATGGTCATAACGGAAGAGAAATTGAGGGTCCGATCAACAATTGAAAGGGATAGCAAGAGGAGGCTCTCCGGTGAAGAGAGAAGCGAGTTGAGGTGGAGAGAGAGAAAGAAGACTCTGGGTTTCTGAGTGTGTCGATGGCGGGGATATGCTGGGGATTATGGAAAAGGATGAGGGTAGATTAGGGGAAGGGAAACTTGTTCGGGAGTGAGGGGCTAAGAGGTACGCTATTGTAAATTGTAATCCCGTTTTACGCAACGCGATTAGAAGTAGCGAATGAGGGTATGAAACGTAAAATGGCACGAGGAGTGACTACACTACGCCTTCTGTTTCTTGGGGAAACTTGCCGTTCTCAAAACGCAAGAAACTGTTTTCTAAGGCTCCTTTTCAAGACTAAACAGCGGTAAGGGCTGAGATTTTTTAGATGTTTTGTAAGTGTGAGTAGGAAAAAAGGGATGGAGGAAATAAAAATAAGAAAAAAATAATAAAATAAAGTTGATTAAAAAAAGAAAAAAGTCTAAACAGCGACAGAAACGCGTGTAGTGCATGCACCCGATGGGCACAGTGGTGACAGCAACGCCTGTGCGGCGCGAATGTCAAGGCTGAATAGTGGGTCCCACATTTCTGCAAAAATCCCTTCTTTGCGAATAGGGATGTTAACGAATCGAACATAAACGAACGAAGGTTGTTCGTGTTCGTTTGTTAAGAATTTTGGAATTTTTGTGTTCGTGTTCGTTTGTTAAGGTTTTTGAAAATCATGTTCGTGTTCGTTTGTTAAGCGTTCATTAGTGTTTGTTAACGTTCGCGAACATGTTCACGAACGTGTTCATTTACGTTAACGAACACGCTCGCGAACGTGTTTGTCAACATTCGCGAACACGTTCATGAACGTGTTCGTTAATGTTAACAAACATTTTCACAAACATGTTCGTTAACAAACACGTTCACGAACATGTTGGTTTACGTTCATGAGCACGTTCGTGAACTTTTAATAACCAAACACCTACACTCGTTCATGATCACAATTCGTTCGTGAACAAGAAATAATCTACGCTCATGTTCGCGAACATTATTAAACGAACACTAAACGAGATTGTTCACGAACATTATTAAACGAACACAAACGAGCTTGTTCACGAACATTATTAAATGAACACAAACGAGGTTGTTCACGATCTCTTAGCAAACGAGCATACAACTGTTCAAGCTCTGTTCATTTATTAACCGAGCTCTAATTTTTGTTTGTTAATGGATCGTTTACCTTAATAAACGAACATAAACGAACGCTTACCGAACACGAACACGAGTAGTTTGCCGAAAGCTCTGTTCGCTAACACCCCTGATAGTGTAAATACGGTGCTACGTATTATACTACTAGGTTGTGTACTCTCGGAGGGCAGGATAGAAAGGTAGCAGGTCGGCAAGTTATCCCTTTATCTAGAAGTCTCCAAAAGTCCCCCCTACCCGCAATAAATGCGGGTATTTATAGGGACAAGGAGGCGGTTTCCAAACTCCCGGCATGTTGGACACGTGGTTTCCATGCAATTGAGGGCGTTCTAACCGAGAAAACCCCTACGCGTGGCATTCTACAACGAAGGAAACCCTACACGTGTTTGTGGTCGGGGTAGAGTGCAGGCTTTTAGCCGACCGACTGTTTATCGCTCGGTACCGGTCGGTTCCTGGTACTGACGTGTAAGCATATTAGAACCGACCGCTAAACTTGATACTCTACTCGAGGGACAAAACTAGATATTTGACTACCAAGAGCCCCCTAGCCCGTGTTCCTGACGAAAGCTTTTTGAAAAAGGGCTCGGGCTCAAACGAATACTTGGAAGGGGTCGGGATTATAGTCACGTTATTAGTGTCGCCTCCGATTCCATACGGTGCAGGCTCACCGTAAGGTTTTCCAATCGATCAATCGAGAACATAGGGACACATTTCTCCATCGCTCAATTATCCTAGGGATCCGCACCAGACTTCTGAAACACGTTCGCTTTTCTCGCCATCTCGAAGGCCTATATAAACCCTCTCGCAAGACTTCATTCATGCGTCTTCTCTTGCTCTTGCGGTCGGGCACCTCCGAGCTATCTTTTCAGCTGTACTTGGACATCTCCAAAGATTTTTCACTCAAAGGCTTAGGCAACCGGTAAGCTTCTTCAACTGTCGCTTTGTTTTGTTTTTCCTTTATATGCTAAACTTAATGTGCCCTGCGGCACGCTCGCCCGGGGTAAAAGCTACCCGGGTTTACGCTAAATACCCCTTATCCTCTTTGAAGGATACATGACTAGCTCCGACAGTGAAAACCCCTCGAACGCTGATTACGACGATGAGGTAGAGGAGTTTACCGACCGCACAGACACCGACGAGCTCGAGGTTGAGAACGGTCGGATAAGGTTGAAGCTTCTCGTAGTGGTGATGCCGCTACTCGGGAAGAACAAACGGCTAAGTCTATGGAGGAGCGACTAAGAGAAACAGAGGGTGACACTGTAACACCCCACTTTTCTTAATCTTAATTACAATTCTAAAACCACAATTAATACAAACTAAGCAGCGGATAAACAACTTAATAAGTAAACTAGTGGAATGTCACCGCCACAACCACCACTCCATGGTGATTGCACATGCTAAGGATGGAACTAAAACAATAAACCCAAACTAACATTCATATTACTTAATTAAGGGTGTGTTTGGAAACCCGAAAAATGATTTCCATATTACTTAATTAAGGGTGTGTTTGGAAACCCGAAAAATGATTTCTGGAAATCATTTTTCGGGTTTCTGGTGTTTGGCTAGGCAAAGAAAAGAGAAGTCAACGGAAAATAACTCAACTTTTACGGAAAATGACTTCCCCTTTTTTTTGGGGGAAGTCATTTTCCGCCGTTGTTTCCTCTGGCCAGAAGCTCGCCTCCATCAACACTTCTCTCCTCTGGTCATAAGCTAGCCTCCATCAACACCAAACTCCACCAACAAATCTCCGAATCTAACAGATCTAGACGAAGTTCTCTCCTCTTCCCTTCGTTCTCTCCTCTGGCCAGAAGCTCGCCTCCATCAACATCAAACTCCACCAACAAATCTCCAAATTTAACAGATCTAGACGAAAACCCACGGCGGAGGAAGTCTCCACACTGGTTTCCGATGCGGAAATCAGTGCCTCTGGTTTCCGCATCGGAAACAGAGAAATGGTTTCCGCAGCCGGAAACCAAAGCCACTGGTTTCCGGCTGTGGAAACCAGAGAATATAGCTAATACTCCGTATGATTTTGGTTCAAAAAACAAAAAGCAAATTTCGATTTTGTTTTTTTTTTTTTTTAATTTGATTTTTGGACATTAGATATAACTAAGCAAATTGGAGTATTGAAGTTGAATATTTCATTTTCCTATTCATTTTCTGGAAAATGAACCAAACACACAAAGACTATTTTCCGTTTTGCAGCCAAACACCAGAAAAGAAAATGTTTCCAGGAAAATGACTCATTTTCCAGAAGTCATTTCCCAACTGCTTTCCAAACGGACCCTAAATGTCGTAAGGGGAAAAATGCCCCGAAGTATAACATCAAGCATAAACATCAAAGTCTACAAATCCATCAAAATAAACATCATGACAATACTAAGAGTTTAGACTACTAGATCTACTAAGCTAGTCTAACTCGATCATCTCTCAACGCTAGGCCCACCTGAAAGGGGTTTTTCAAAACAACACATAGACAAGTAGGAAAACACCCGTTAGCACGAAGCTAAGTATAACCACACTCAACCCTGTAAAGTACTACAATATATACTTTGGAAAAACATTTGTTCACAAACTCAATCAAGCAATCTCAACACTTAGCCAACTTTAGATACATCACAGACTTTCTATATGCTTGCAACCTATAATATCAACAAGCATGCTTCAAATATAAATAACTCATCAACATAAATATACCAACACATATTTCTCATAACAAATCTCATCATAACTAACTCAAGCTATCAGTCAAATTCATACTAACAACCAATACAAAATTATTTTCATGTTTTCAAGTTCTCATCATGCAAACTGGATATGTAAGACATCAAAATGCAACTAAAGCAATCATGCTCGATATACAATCTCGGTTAATCATTCTCATATGCAATCTAGTGCAAAACTATACTCAAATGCAATCTCGTGCAAACATTCTCATTATGAAATCTCGTGCAAACATTCTCATTATGCAATCTCGTGCAAACATTCTCATTATGCAATCTCGTGCAAACATTCTCATTATGCAATCTCGTACAATACTATAAGGAGTTAATACCATCTAAGGTCCTCCGAGTATAGTGGTTTTGTCGCGTTTAGTCCTAAGCTTTCAAATTGACCATTTGTGGTCCTTCGACTTTCAAATTTAACCATTCGTGGTCCAAGTTCACCACCCATGGTCCTTCAAGTTTCGAAATATAACCAGTCGCGGTCCTCTTGAAAGGACCATGGTTGGTTAAAATTTAATAGTTGAAGGACCATGGGTGGTTAACTTGGACCACGAATGGTTAAATTTGAAAGTCGAAGGACCACAGATGGTCAATTTGAAAGTTTAGGACTAAACGTGGCAAAACCACTATACTCGGAGGACCTCAGATGGTATTAACTCATACTATAAGTATACTCATACACTCGTTTGTAAAATATAATACTTTTCTGTGGAGTTTTCTTAGAGTCACAATGGCTCGCTTTCTTTCTTGCTCAAACTTTCTCATACTTTATCGTTTCTCTTCTTGTGCGAGGCAGGTACTTCGCCGCAGCGAAGCCTAGCGTACGGTGCAATCTCGTGCATCTGCCACATCCGTAGCTACGGAACCTCTAACTCATGGGGAGGTAGGTCTTCACGAATCGTGAATGGACCTAACCGGCTCGGCAATCTAGCCGGCCACATACTCAACTCGCCCACAAAACCACTCTCTTGGTTCTTTATCTTTCTTTCTTGCTTTCTCTGTGGAATCAGGTATCGTACTTTTAGTGTGCACACCCCCTAACCAGGATTCCAAGCCTGGCAGGCAGTCTCCAACATCGTAACGTAGGAATACACCGCGTTACATGATAAATCTATCGGATCGCAATATCCGTTGCTTTCTCTTTTACTCCGAAAGGACATAGTCTCAACGGGTCCTCCAAAACCTCACATATATAGATAGATAATATATATATCTTTCAAGCACCAAACTTATGCATGTCACATCTCAGCAACTTCTCAATGCAACAAGATAAAGACTTTC